ATAGGTAGCTCTGGAAGGAGGTGATAGAGCAGCCATATGAGCAGCCAGGTATACACCTACCCAAAGCGAGGTCAGCCTCCTCCAGTTTGAGCCACTCGTACAGGACCTAATGATGACACCTTCCGCACTGATACCTACATTGTACTCACAGAGCAGGTGTCCGGTGTGACTATTTGCAGTGGAGACTCAGCAAAAACTATATCTCCAGGATGCATGAGATCTCCATCTACACGACTAAACATGCACCTACCCTTTTCAGACGTATACTTCACCTACACATATCACTCGATAGATATGCAGTTACAGGAGGAGTGTTATAACCTCAACTCGGGCCGCTATACGTGCATCACTCCAATCCTCTCCACACACGGGTTCAGTGGAGTCACTAGATGCATGGACTGCAACAGCAGTAGTGCTAGGAGGGTTCTCCTCAGTAGCTGCACCATCATCGGGGTCAGGTACTGTTATAGGATCGACGGGTGGTGTGGGATCCGTTTCAAGACGAGGAGGCTCCTCTGGACAGCTCGGTGATGCGACTGTCGAATAGGAATCAGTAAGGGTGTCCAGTGGGTGAGGTGCCATAACAGGCATAAAACATCACCACTGTTCAACTATGGCCATACGATGACAGACGACTATGACTAGAACGCAAGGATTGTATAGAGCAAGGAAACAACAACATCATGCAGCAGCTCTATCAAGCCCTCTCATCCCGTCTATCCAACTTGATAGTGTTCGCCAAGTTGACAGCTAAATCGAAGCCACGAAAGAGCCAAACCCGGATGACCTGTCCGAATGTACTCAGGACCCCACTGTGGGGTCCCCACAACTAATAATGTGATGTCATCCAACAACACGGCAGCCCATCCTACCACGACTACCACTACTATTACCTGTGCAGCATACTTGGAGACCTCATAAAAGAGAGCCTGTTCCTCAGCATTGAGCTTGCCCAGAGCTAAGCTAGGTTTGACCTTTTCCAAGCTGCCACCTATCATTCTCTTCCCCATGCCTATCCTTAGACGTGCCACCTCCTCCGTACGCGTTACCTTGGTGACGAGATGAGCTCGGCATTTTCCATTAGAAATTATGCTACTTTTATGATGCTGTCCAAACCGTTCTGCCCACCGCTACTACCACCTGGTTTCATTCTCAGTTGTCCCAGTGGTATAGTCAAGTCATCACACACAACGAGGACCTGCCTACCCAAGGAAAGGAATCCCCCTAACCAGGATGCGGTGTTATCACCGAGTTTCTATCATCAGCTCTTAGCCTCAGATCGGATAATGCTGGCCCGGCAGCTAACCCAGAGCGATTCATGAAAGTCCGAGGCTTGAGCAAATTAACACTTTCCAACATCGGTCGCCAAACTCCATTCTGAATGAGCAGCCACGGATACCAAGCATACCAGAGAGTTTAGTACCTTATCAGTGGCCTCTTTCGACCTGTCGCTCCTCCTGTCGATGAGGTCATCTCCTCGCATATCCAGTAGATAATCGAAGGTTAATCCTTTCACTTCACATACATCACTCAGCCATCGCTTGCAACTACGAAATGGCCGAGGAGTGGTACAACCCAATAAGCTGGCAAAACGATCGCCAACCTCAAAGCCAGCATTATGTCGTGTACCCTCGAATTTAGGACCATAGTTACCAAGAAAGACTATCAGTACTTTGGACGACGAGGGCGGTGATACAACGTCCGATTTGAGTCGTCGTGTGGATGCGGTAACCGCCGCTCTCCGTTGTCGATGTATCGGATTATAACGGACATGGCAACACTTCAACACGGAGAACATCCTAACCATCCATGTACCTTCTACACCTTTTTCCGTGCAAGTTTGACAAGTGAGCAGACAAGAATGACAATATTATAAGCAGGTTTGACTTTGAAAATTCGAGTATGTCACGATCGAGATATGTTACTATCAAGATTGACAATGAAAATCCAAGTTTGTCAAAATTCAATTATGTCACAATCAAGATTGGCAGAGAGAATTCATGTTTGACACCGACAGAATATATCACAATCAAGAATGGCAATATTCCACACGAGTTTGGCAATACACATCCAAGTTTGCCTCCAAGTCGTGCACAATCATGCGTATCGTGTGACGCGAGGCGGGGTGTCACCCCTCTTCAACATCAATGAGATATCCAACCTCTGCGGTGTTGGGGATTCAACAACACTCTCTTCGTTATAGATCGTCTATGATCTAACCTCAGTAGTCACGTAGCAGCACGGTTGTGTAACTCTCGCCCCGAGCGAGTCGCCCGCCACCATGGTGTCTTCCTCATCGGACGGTGTACATCCGAGTAATAGCTCTAGTGTTAAAAAGTGATGTAGACGGATGGCAAGCGCACATATCATTGTGCTGAGCCTGTGAGAAGCCGAGTGGTAGTAGCGGTGGACAGAACGTTCCGGATAGCATTCTCGTCGAAGATAGGGCTAAGAACAATCACGGAGAGAGTAAGTTGTGACCTGGGTGATCGTAGTTGATTGTAGTTATTTGCTCATTGATATGGGTGGCAAGAGAGGAGGGTCTAAAGGTGGCGCCAATAAGCAGCAAGCTGGCGCTGTGGATACCGGGGACGATCCTACGTCCTCACAATATAGAGTTAACGCTTGTATAGTATTAGCCGAGAACTTCGATGAGGCCTGTCAAACTAATACAATATTCGGTGAAGGACCCGAGGTGGATAGGATAGCGGGTAATGATATTACTTGATGGTACTAAGTCATTACTGTAAGCTACTCAGGGCTCCTACCTTTGCCCGGTGGCACTACTCTACTTCAACGTACTGTCGACTTAGCCCTAGACACCCTCAATCTGGGCAGTGTATATGTCCTATGCCGTCAATGCAACACGCCAACAGTAGAAGGACATCTTACACGTAGCAAGAGGATGACTGTTAGTAGTGTGCCGGATACATGTAATGAACGTGGTAGTGAGTTAACAGGGGGTCAGGGTTATTCCTATCAGCTCGTCCATTTGCGAAGTACTTCGGGCATTCGGTTCCG